CTGCGCTCCCTCGCCGACTCCCCCTCCCCCGTATCCCTCCCCTCTCCTCTCCTCTCCTCCCTCTGCCCCTCTCCCTCCCCTCCTCCCCGGCTCTCCCTCTCAGTCTCCGGGTTCTCAATCTCGCTCTCTCTCCGTCTTTCGGGCGGAGTCGCCCACCCCTGCCAGCTCAGCGCTGGGGGGATCAGCTCCAGGCTGTAGCCGCAGGTAAGAGACCCCAGCGGGGAGGAGCGTAGGAGGAAGACCTGGTTACCCCAGGCGCGGGGTGGGGGCGGTCTGAGGAGCCAGGAGCTGCTGTCCCTGGCTCGTTTATGCTGGCTGGGGGGCTGCACATTCCGGGTGCGGGTACTGGGGCCCTTCTGTGGGGTAAGGGTGTCACCGGCAGCCCCCATACCTTCAGCCCTTCCTGCATTGTAGGAGGACTGAGAAGGGGACTCCTGGACCCTGAGGGGGCAGGAGCACCCCATCCTCTCCCCGTCTGGGGCACCCCCCTTCTCTCCCTCCGCCCCCGCCTTCCTGTGTCTGGGTCTCATCTTTCAGCTTCCATGTCTCTCAGGGGTCTCTGTCTGGCCGAGTCTGGCTGCTCTGAGTCCTTTCCCTGAATCAATCAATCTCTCTCTCTTCGTTCTTGTTTCCCTCTCTCAGGGTCTCTCCGTGCCTAAGTCTGTTCAGAGTCACTCCCGTGTTCTGTCTCTAAGTCCTGGGTTTCTCTGCTTTCCTCTTGCGCCATCTCTGTGTGTTTCTCTGTCTCTGTGTCTCTGCCTCTCTCCACTATCTCAGCTTTCCTGTGTCTCTGTCGGTCCGTCTCTGCTTTATCCGAGTCTCTGTTTCCTCAGATCTCCATGTGTGCCTTCCTCTCTCCCCTGTCTCTCTCCCTGTCTCTGGTCTCCATAAGTCTCTGGGTATCTGGGTCTCTGTTTCCCTCTTCTCTCACTCTCCCTGGGAGCCAGTTCACTTTCCTCCTACACACCGTTGTCTCCGCCCCTAGCAGGGAAGACCTGGAAGATGAAGACCCCCCACAGAGTGGGCTCCCCCCCCCCCAAGGCCTGGAGTCCTCTAAACTCCTCTCTCCTCTTTAGCGGAGCTCAAGCTCTCTCCTCTTGTCCTCTGAGTTGGCGCTGGCCCTAGCTCTCCCCTGAGGACAGAGCCCCCTCCTCTGCCCTGCCTTCTTTCTGGAATTCTGTGGCCAATCCTTCTTGCAGTTTAACCTGTAACCTTTGCAGTAGAGATTGGACCAGCCTAACCTACCCATTCCTCTTGGTATAAACTGAACTAGTCCTTTCTACAGTCTAACTTCCATACCTCTTGCTGTTTGTCTTGTTCTTGATTTACTCATCTCCTGACAATTACTGAGTGCCTTTCCTACTCCAGGGACAGTACTAGGTGCTAGATCATGCCAGGCCAGTCCTTCCTGCAGTCTCACATCCATCCCTTTTATGGCATACCAGCCTCAGACCTGTCTCAGAAGGGATGGATCTCAAAAGCTTCTCTACCATATTATATGGGGCCCTTCTGCATCCTAAGTCCCCTTTCTTGAGGGAAGGGGGTCTCACAGGAGGTGGTTGAGAGTGAGTGGCAAGGAAAGGGTATGTGGTTGTGTGTGTGTGTGCCCCAGCCCTGTGTGACAGTGCCAGAGTGCAGCTCTAGATGACTTAAAAAGAGCACCAGGTTCAGTCCCACGCCTTGACTTTCCATCTGTGCTACCCCAGGCTTGAAGCTGTGTGACTTGGCCAGGTTTTCTCTCTCTGGACTTCAGTTCAGCCATCAGTGTATCACAGCCCTGGACACCCAAACTCTGCATGTGATCCCCAGGCTGGGGCACTGAGAGATAGTGGGAGGGAGGGCCTGGGCTTACCCTGGGGCAGGAAATATGCACATTTAGGAGTCTGTGTCCCCACCTTAGACATTCCTCTGAGGGCCAGAAGATGTTCCCCCACTCTATGAGGGGTACAAGAAAGGGGTTTCTACTGGCATGCCAGACTGCGCCTGCCCTGAAGCCCACAGTCCTGCTGGACATGAAGACACCAAGGCCCCAAGGGGCCTTGTGAGGCAGAATAGGGGTGCTCACTGCTGACCCAGCTGGCTGCAGGCCCATGCCGGTGGGGAGGGATGGCCCTGGGACATGCGGGACCGGGAAATGGTGCCCGCCATCTGCCCTCACAGCTCCCACCCTGGGCTCAACCTGATCCTTTTGCCCCTGGTTTCTAAACCCAGATTAGGTTTCAGAGTTGCTGGTGGACTGAGAGGCAGAGGCAGGAGCTTCAAGCAAAAAGAGCCGGCTGTCCCCAGCAAA